ATCCTGGGTAATACTCTATTATTGTCAACCGTTCATATCCGGTGTTACCCTGGGTAATACAAAACATACATTATCCTGGGTAACAAATACTCTTCTATTATCAACCTTACAAACACTACCCTGAACAATACAATACAATACATACATTACACTGTTATTTTCATCCTTACATACATTATCCTTGGTAATACTCATGAATTATGACCATATATGATGAAAGTCAGATACAAATAAAAGCTCTTTTTTTATAATTAACTACAGTTACTATTAAATTGTATCTGAGTTTTTTTTTTCCAATTTTGGTGGCGTCATTGATTAGAGGTGTATTTGGCCATGCTGTTGTACTTTACAACTTTATTTGTTGTATCATTATAGCTGTGATTGGCCATGCAGTTGTACTTTATGACTTTGCTGCTAGGGACACTAAAGAACTGACTTTAAAGAAAGGCGAGAAAGTTGAAATTATGAGTAAAGCTGGTGGTTTCCGTGGTTGGTGGAAAGGACAGATAGATGACAGGGTAAGTTGCCTCTAGCGTAACCTCATTAGTAAATATATGATTTTTTTAAAAAAAAATGTGTGACTCTACACAAAACCTTGTAATTAACATTGCAACATGATATATTTCCCTTTGGTTTATGATTTTTTTCGCGAAAAGAAAGTTGACAATATTGTGGGTTGTATATAACCAATTATGTCTTCATTACAGGTTGGTTACTTTCCATCTACATACGTTGAAGAAAAAGATTAGATCGATACTGTGTACTGGTATGCTCTGTGTATGTGTGGACCAAACCTGCCTTCATCTTGCCTTGCACATATTGAATGACTATAATGTCAAGATTGAAGAACTGATTTGAATGTCTTTCATGGGTTAGATTGTCATTGTTGAAACCAATACTTCCAAACTTTTAATACATTTCACTGATCCAATTAAAGTTTCAGCAAAGATTATTAGGGAAGTAAAATTGTTTTTAAATCCCTTGTGAGAAAGTACATCTACGGAAATTATTTTTGATGATGGTTGACCTTTGTTCGTCCAACCATTTAACCCCTAAAGTTTTGCAAATTTCACATTAAGCTGCATACAGTTTTCAGTATCTTTATAGAAGTTGTGATCAAAATGTGCAGGTAATAGGCAAATAGAAAATTATGTTCATTCAAGCCAAAATTAACTTACAGTTATATACAGACAAATTATGCCAAATGTTGTGAAAAAATGATGGCATCCAAAGTAAGATGAAACCAGGGAGACTGGTCAAATCTAAATGGCTGAATTATTCTGCATACGGCGGCAACTGATTTTCACAAACATGACTGCTGTCATAATGGATCATCATTAAAAATGTATGTGAACAAAATGGTATTTATGTGCCTTCCAGCTCCAGATGCGATTGGCCAGATTAATCAGAATTACTTACACATTGAACCCCCTAATTGTTTGTATCTATTAAATTAACTTGTTAGCATGTTAACTATAAAAAACTTGTATGCAAGACAAGATGTACGGCATATAAGACAACCTCACTAACCTTTGGACATTATGAAACTTCTTAAATTTCTTTTGGAAATTAATAATTGTAAGTTTCTAAAATTATTAATCCACAACTTTGAATATGTTGTCTTCATATATTCGTCATCGGTTGAATTGACGAAAATCATGTCTTCCAAAAACAATAATTGTTTGTCAGTGTTATTCAGGACATAATGTTATAGTATTTGATTATGCAAATTTCCTAATTATGCATGCATTATCAGGCGATTGTACTACATAAACACTTCTATATTGTCTACCAACACTTACTTGGTGAAGGCAATTCACATGCACGGTGTTCAGTGTAGAATGGCATTGCAATGAATGTTATCGCCAACAACTTGTACAAGTTTTCAAAGGCTGCAAAAGTGCTAATATATATTTACACACATGCACAAAGAATTATACAATTAATTTCAATACTGCATTTTCCCTTTTGAAAGTGCATCTGTAAAGCACTTGTAAACCAAACAATGCATATATGGTATACCTGGTCATTAAAATATGACTTGTTGCCATGAATACAATGTAATTTATGCAAACTGATGTGCTACTAATGAGTCAAATCAAGACAGTAAAACAATTATGAGTTAAGCTGCTTGTAAATTAGTAAATAGTACATTATGCAAATTATTGAAGTTTTTCCAAAATGAACAATTGTCAAGAAACTTTACAATAATGTTGTCATTATCCACAAGTCTTCCCTTGTACATTACTATTTGTAAATTTTTTCTCCATTATATACATTATCCTAATTTGTTGGTGTTACTGAAATGTTGTATCTACACGTGTTCGAAATAATGTAAAATTATGAGAATGAACATGTTCCAAATGTAAATTTGTTTCAGTGATTACCAGTGTAGACTATTGTGTCACTTTAATAAGTGACATATCGCAAAGATTGATTAATGTTTTCGGTGTTAGTAAATCTTACTTGATAGTAAGTCGTAATTGGAATTTGAATGAGGCTAGGGGATTATATAACAATTTTGAGAGATAAATAATTTTTACATTTATTTACTGTGACTAGAATCATTTGAAAACTAACATATGCATGTGACAGTGGCATGCATGTGCATGTAACCCCCTACAATATCAGATAATTTGACGTCATAAAAAAAATTCTTTTTCTGGATAAATTTCAAGTGAGATAATTCCGTATAATAAATATTTGTAATGAGGATATTCCACATTCTCCTGTGCAACACTTTAAGGCACACAGATAAACATGAATGGCAACATTGTGGTTGACTTTTCATTTGTGCAGATCACTTGACTTGAATACACTGAGGCAGCTGGAAACGAATTGCTTGGTTGTGTATTTGAAATCTTTTAATTTGAGATACTATAATAATTCTGTATGATGTGTGCAAGGTGGTAGTACACTGCAATTTGGAGAACACTGTATCAGTGACATTGGATTGTTAAAAATGTAACAGTCTTTGTAGTTGGTATCAATGTTTTGAAAGGTAATTAACATTTTCACACAGAGTGTTTTTCTCAATTTACAAAGTCAAATATTTGTAATAATTTACTTGTTTGCGTATTTAATAAGCTCATTAACACGCCGCCTGCTGACGCCTTGTTTCACATTTGTGTCTGCTAGGCATGGAGGCTTTCAGCAGGTGTTGTGACAAAGCAAGTGAAATAAAATCCCGTTCGACATCAAATATCTGGGGAAAAAAAGTATATTTTTGATCATAACTGGTCTGTTAATTTTTTTTCAATTTATCAGTAGCAAATTATTGCAGTGATTGCCAGTTTTGTTTTTGAACATGGTACTAAATTATTAGCTGTTAATAACACTAGTGTATTGGTACACTGTGGAATTATATTCAGATAAAAGTAGTTCTTTCTGATTACATGTTTACTCATATTAGCAGAAAAAAAATCCGTGTTAGGTATTATTTTCATGTGTGTCATGTGACTTTAAATATGCAAGATTTGTTATATTCAGTTTACTTTGGCCAATGTTTTTTTATTACATACTAACTTGATATAGAAAACAGTGTTTATAATCCCTCGAAAACATGCGTTAGAAAAGTAAATGTTGTATTCTCATTTCAAGTGATAATGTATATATTACAAATGATTTGACTTGTGGCTTAATTCATTTAGCATGTCATTTGTGGAAATACAACTAGAGATTTTTTTGGAAAAAGTTAAATGCATTTGCTTCATATTATACTACTGCTGTTATTTAGTAATTTTGTATTCTTAAATCATGTATAAAATGTTGTTAATTGATCATATACTGTGCCAGACTAAGCTTTTGATCTGGTTTCATGAAATATTGCTTCTTGAGAAAAAAGTAGTATCAATCTCCCTGTATAAGTATTCTTTTTGCAAAATATTGCAGAGGATAGTTTTTCATACATACCTCATCACAGATCTTGTCAACATTACTATCTTATATTCAAGTATTATTTCACTCCAGGACAACTACCTTCGCTATTTATATAACAAACGATCAAGGTGTTTATGGTCTTCCTTTACGTATGTTTTCAGTGCGGGTATATCTGACAATCATGTAATTGCATAATATGCTTCGATTCTTTGCAGTTTTTACTATTCTTACAAACATTTACAACTTTTAATATAGCTCCAATAACTGTTTGAACTATGCCTGTAGTCAAAGGTTTATTTTCTTCCATTTTGCATACACCATGGATTTCTTTTGTAACTTTGCAAGTTAAAAAACACAATTAAGTTTGGTTTTTCGTTTCGGATGGTTCTTTTATTTAGTTTTGCGTTTGTACATTATTTTTTTTCTATTGCAATGTATACCTTATACAAGCTATGTTCTCATGCTAATATGATATATTTGTACAAATAATTTTTTAATAATTATGTATATCTATACAATGGAAATAAACCAGATTTAATACTGATAACTGTCACTTTTATAATACCATAACATGTGTGATGAAATTAGAGACAATGGAAATTGTACAGTGCATCAAGTACTAATTTGTTACATCATTGCATGGAAATGTATACATTGACATGGTAATATTGAATAACTGGTACACTTAATTAAACTTTATGTTGCCTTGGCGATTCTTCGTCGTAAAACCGAGAGATGATATATATTTATAAATCATGTGTTGACTGCACTGCGTTGAAACTTGTGTTTGCATCAGTTGATATTAGTATAGTTAAGTTTGAGTACACCTTATGTAAATGTCACTCGAAAAAAGCATGGCTACGAGGTGCGTATGACAACTCGTACGTTGACAAGCAAAATGTAAAATAAATCGACATTGCTATCAGAGGAATGGTACCATTGCATAAACAAAATTTCACAGTGCATCATCGTGCATGTCGCGTGATGGTTAATGTTTTATGTTAAATTATATTGACTATATTTGGTATATATACCAAAGTCGTGGTTTAACTTTAAATAGATGAGAATTAGAACTCGCAAAATTATCATTTCTGAAAACTTATCTAAGCCTGAAGTTGTATTGTTGACACTAACTATTGCACGAATTACTAATCTACATATTTACGAACCAAAACTGTGGTTGTTACTAATATGCAATTACAATCTGCATATGAACGAAAGTGCTCTGACTATGCATATAAAAAATACTTTGCGATTACAATATTAACATATAGACAAAAAAGTAAGTGTGCCGTTACGGAAATAAACACATGGCCAGGACAATTTGATCACATACGCGGTCACGTATAATGCAATTCACAGAAATATTTTGCGGGCAGAGTAAAACACATTGAGAAGAAACCAGACCTGACAACGCATGTGTCGAGCAGGTACAAAAAGAAACAAATTTCGAAGGGAGTTGAGAAAGTTCCTATGCGATGTCAGGTGATGAATAACGTTTAATATCTTCTTTGGTCTTGATTTGTTAGTTCAACATGCCAGACCCTAGACAATTACATAAATAGTTGGCTGTACCCATGACATTAACGTGCCTTCTCCAATGCATCTAACATGATGTCACGTAATTCATGATGTTTTTCTTTACCTGTCGAGAAAACAAGACAATGTCATCATAATAACGTAACAGCAAAAATTGATGATTGTTTACAGAATCGCGAAAAAACGCCTAACACACAATATGCAGATACAAACAAATAACTGATCGACAGACTACAAATACACTACAACACAAATCAATGGAAGAAAGATATATATACACTTCTATGCGTAAGGCCTTGAGGTGTTTCAAAAAGATCGAGCACATCGTGTTTGTCACGTCTTTGACACCACAATATAACTGCCAGTACGCGGCAGAGTAGTGGGTCATTGACGCATGTACATTCCCAGATTCATTAATTTGTTCAGTGTATATACTTACCGGAAATGGGCACTAATACAAAGCGCCCTCTACAATCTTCCTCCTTGTCAGTTATCTCTTTCAAATACCGATATAATAATTTAATTTGCATGTCTTTTTCGTCTTCTGACATACCAGCCTCTCTGTGTTGATTCATTCTATATATAGTATCCACTGGTGTAACGTACTCCATTATCGCATAGTGTTCCTGTATGTCGCAATAAAGAAAAATACCACATCTTTTATTATTAAAACATGACAGTTTGACTGCCCTCAGTGGATTTCGTTTATACTCCAACAACTTGTGATCTTAATTACAAATACCTCCAAAATATCTTGGGTAAAATGACACCATTTGGCATTTACTAAACTAGTCATTATAATATATATTATTTGTAGTATTTGTGATTGGGTGTATTTAGGAGTAGATTTAATTACAATTCACGGACAATCAGCGTTTATTTGCCCACATTTTGTTGTTGTTGTGGGCATATATACATTCTTGACTCTCTGTTGTCAGTTCCAGATCGTTATCTTATTTTTAGAATCCGGATAACCCAGCATTTTCATATCCCAGGCAAGTCATAACTGATCTTTTTATCACATTAAATGCCGTGCTGTGATGACGATGTCGTTTCATGCAATTTTGTATTTTGTTCATTTAAATTTGAATTAAGGATATTTTATTTTTAATATTCATATTCTGACCACGTTTGTGGTATAAAATCTAGGCAAAATATTGTCCTTTATTCAACAATATACGGCCATTTTAATGAAATAGTGACATTGACT